ATAAATAAATAAATAAAGTGGAGTGTTCCAGGAGATGGCTCCATGGGTAACACAACATTTGCCTCACAAATCTATGACCTGAGTTCAAAACCCATTTAAAGGTGAACGAAGAGAATCAAGTCCACAGAGTTGTCCTCTGACCTCCACATGTAGCGATGAGGTGGGGAGTGGTTACTTGACATTGACCTCTGACTCCCATAGACATTTGCATACACATAAGCACACCACATTTTTTTAATTTAAAAAAAAAGTGTTAACACCCATGCCTTGCCCCTACCCCAAAGTTCATAATTAATTAGTCTGGTGTGCTACCCAGACATTTGTAGACTTCTTTCTACAGGGTCCGGTGACATTTCCGATTTAAATCTTGGACACACCCCGGAGCCAAAGGGCCCTCTGCCGAGTCCGGCATGTGAAGGCGCAGGATCTTCGCCTATCCAACTATTCTCTCTCTGTAAAATGGAAACCCAGTAGGAAAAAGCAATTGCTGCTTCCTACTTCTTTCTGAAGAGGCAGGAGGGAGATCTGCTGCTGGATGGATTACTTTGATGGTTTGGATATGCAAAGACGGCCTAGATCTGAACTGGGGGAAGTTGTGAAAATTTGGGATTCCTGGAAAAGGGACTGCAGTGGAGAGGGTGGAGGAAATGTCTCAAATAGAATGAAGTTTCACAGCCCTGTGGGCTAAAGACAGCAATGGGGAATCCCGGTAGTAGGATGATTGAGGGCTTCCAGGAACAAGGGCATCTAGTCACAATTACAAGTAATGTTGTTTTTCTTTGTATGTTTGGCTTTTACATTCCTCATATCCCTGCCCACTTCCACCTTTAACAAAATGAACACGTGTACACATACATAGGAAAGCAGCGCCTTCTGTGCACACATGTGTAAACCAAAGACTGTAACAAGGTGGCCACGTGGGACTGAGAATTTGAGAAAAGATCATAAGTAAAAAGAATGCAGCAAGGTGAGGCATGGTGGGGTGTATCCGTTATCTCCGTACTCTGAAGGTTAAGGCAGGAGGGTCATTAATTTGAGGCCAGAATGAGACACACAACAAGAAAGTAAGGGAGAGGCAGGAGAGACAGAAGAAGAGATGAGGGGAGGGGTGGAGAGGGGAGGAGAGGAAAAGGGGAAAGACAAAGGAGAAAGGGGAAGGGAAGTGAACAGAAACCCAGAGCAAGCTATAGCTACCAGAATGTATTTTCCAGGTACCTTAGGAAAACAATGTCCATAGTAATCAAATGAGGGTACATATAGAACTTTTTAAGTTTGACTGTTGAATATTTATTTGTGTGTGTGTGTGTGTGTGTGTGTGTGTGTGTGTGTGTGTGTACTGGTGTGCACAACTGTATGTGCACTCAGATCAGAAAAGGTATTGGATGTCTTCCTTGTCACTATCCACCTATTCCTTTGAGGCAACATCTCTCCCTGGACCTGGAGCTCCAGTTTTCTTGCCTGTGCTGGAAATCAGCAAGCACCAGGGATCTTCCTGTCTCTGCCCACCTCAGAGCTGGAGTTATAGGCATTTGCCAGATACCTGTCTGGTTCCAGAGTGCTGAGATCCAAATTCCAGTCTTCATGATTGTGTAGCAAATGCTCTTAACCACTGAGCCATTTCTCCAGTCCCCTGAAGCCTTTTCAAGTTTCTAAACACCAGAAGCCCCAGGTAGTATCTGGGTTATTAGGATCACATGACCTCTTTTTCCAGATTGCGAAGCTAAAATTGTGGAGCTAGTTTCTGTGAATGTATAGAAGGCTCCTAACACAAGGTCTGATACAATTAGCACTCTGTGTGTGGTAGAAAACACAGTCACAGAAATACACTCACCAAAATATGCTCACCAAAAAGAAGAGCCCATATATTCATATATGTTTTTTTTAAGCCATATACTCACCAAAAAGAAAAACCCAATCATCTAAGCAAGGCATCACACATCATAGCTTTTCAGATTATTATAGTTAAAGAAAAAACAAATTTGCAGAGAGGAGGCTCCACAGAGAGAGTTGAGATACAGAATGAAGGACATCCAGGGTGGAGAGTGGAGAGGGCCACCCAACTGAAGATATCCCAGTGGTGTCTAAGAAACAGAAACTGGAAAGGGGGCAGGAGGGGGGGCTGGGAGGAGACAGAAGAAACAAGTCTGGTGGATTGGAGCCAGGTAGGAGACCGTGCCCAACGGAGGAGAAAGGGTACAAAACCCACATTTAACCGTCTCGGGTCAAGACTCCTAGCTCTGGTCCACCAAAGGCTTGTGTGGCCCTAAGTAATATTCCCTCTTTCTATGGTTTGTAAGGTGAAGGGGGTGTGCTTCTACTTCCAAAGGACTTGCTAAAATCTTGCTGTGATGCTGGGAAGCCCAAGAAGGTTCAGGAACAATGAGACTGCAGGACGGAGACAGTGCTCACCCACACAGTTCTTGTTATCCGGTGCTAGCCTGTAGCCAGAGTTGCAGGTGCAGTAGAAGGTTCCTGGAGCATTGACACACTGGTGTTGACAACCATGGCCCCACTCAGCACACAGGTCCTTCCCTGAGGACACACAAGGAAAGAAAGAATCAGCAGAGAGCAGAGGGGCAGACCTGTCCAAGGAGAGGGCTCAATGGTAGGATAGGGGTAGGGTCTGAAGCAAATACCCAAGGATGGACTTAGGTAGGATATGGATTTGGTTCTTTGAGAGGGCCAGTCCAGGTGAGAGGGTTAGGGGAAGACGAACGAGACTTAAGCAGTCCCTTTGAATAGTCTCAGAAAAGGATCCGCCCTGTATGAAGAGGGCAGGGCTAGAATAGGACCACACAGAGGTCGGGATGTGCAGGAGGACGGAGCGGTACTAAATCACGGTAGATGGAGTAACTCAACGTGAGAGTGAGTGCAAAGCTAGCCCAGCATGCCTGTTATCTCAGCGTTTAGGAGGTGCATTCAAGAAGATCAGGAATTCAAGGTCAGCCTCAGCTACAAACTGATTCCAAGGCCAATCTAGGTGACAAGAAATTTTGTCCTTGTTGTTGTCTCCCCCGCCCCCACCACAAAAGTAACTGAGGGAGTTCTCAGAGCTTTTGTAAATGGGGTGCGTGGGGGGGAGGGGAGCTTAGAGTGGGAGGAACTACACTCTGGTGGGCGGAGCATGATTCCTGATAGACAACACTCTCAATTTTGAGGGTTAGTGATTCTGTGTGTCTGTTTCTTTGTTTGAGACAAGGTTTCTCTGCATAACAGCTCTGGCTGTCCTGGAGCTCACTCTATAGACCAGGCTGGCCTCGAACTCACAGAGATCCCCCTGCCTCTGCCTCCTGGGTGCTGGGATTAAAGACGTGTGCCAACACTGTCCAGAGGTGATTCTTGTTTAAAAGACGTTTGGTGTTGGAGTTTGACATTTAGCTTGTGACACACACGCAAGGTACATAGCTAGTCCCTGATCCAGCACAACTGGCCGCTGAGTGTTGTGGGACCAAACCTCAAATGTGATACACCGCTACTGTAGCTGGAGGGCGGAGTAAAGCTCCGAGCCACCCGGATAAAGAGGGATTGTCTGTAACGATGCAAACTAGAAAGTAGCATCTGCAAAGCCGGAGATCAAGGAGATCGACCGCAGCTCTAACTCACCACACAGCCGGCCCTGGAACTGCAGGCCAAACTCCTGGATGAGATCAAAGGACTCCACCAAGAAGACGTGCTGGTCCAGCGGCGGCGAAGCCATGGCGCGTAGAGAGCCCACGTCGGCTCGCTGCACCCCCACCGCATAGATCTCAATGCCGCGGGCACGCGCCTGCGCGGCCACTTCGGCCACTCGGTCTTGAGGTCGCCCGTCGGTCACGATGACCAAGACCCGCGGCACTCGCTCCTCCGGCGGGCGCGCGCCTTCGGCCTCGCTGAAGGCCACGTTCATGGCATACTGGATCGCCAGTCCGGTCATGGTGCCCTGTGCCAGCGGCACCACGGCGCGGATGGCGCGCTCCATGTCCTCGCGGCGCGAGAAGGCGCCCAGGGGAAACACGCTCTGCACTTGGCTAGAATACTGGATCACACCAACGCGCGTGGCGTTCAGCCCCACGTCCAAGCTACGGAGGAGGCCCACTAGAAACTGACGCATGGTCTCGAACTCGAAAGGACGCACGCTGCGGGAGCTATCAATCACGAACACCAAATCCAGTGGCCCAGTATAGCACCTAGGACCTGCAGGGAGATGGGAAAGGACTCTCTCAGGTCAACTAAAGCTGACCTCTCAGGAAAAGCCAGAAAAAAAAAATGCTGTTATGTGAAAGAAACAGCGCCCAGCATATTAGCCTAACAAACATGGCTTGAGTACAGTCACTCATCCATCGTTGGCAGGGAGGGGGGCGGGTACCTGACCCAGGAAATCGCACAAGTTCCTTGCATACAGCTCTGGGGGCGGTTCTGAGTCTGCATTATATATTGAGGAGTAGGCAAAGAAATGTCCCAATCTCCAGTGCCTACATGGACCAGCCAGATACCATGAATGAATGAACTGGTTTGATTATGCCTAAGACACCACAAGTCCTTCTATCCCCGCTAACATGGGTTGTCCCAGCAACATATTGTCATATACCAAGTGACCTTGGACATTTAGCAGGTCCTTTCAGTTTTATTTATTTTCCAAGGAAATTCTCAAACAGGGGTTTTATGTGGAATCTCCTGATTTTTCCATGTTTTCCATATGCTTCAATAAAATGCAACACCAGATGATCCGTTCTGCATGAACCCAAAACTATGCCACACACTGCAGGTGGGAAGCCCAAATCCAGCCCAGAGTGTCCCAAAGCCCTTGCTTTCCCTTCTCCAGCAGTGCTGGCTCCCCGTGGATGAAGGAACTGTTTCTGCCCCCTCCTCCCATGATGAGGGCTGGGCCCCAGCTCACCTGCAGACTGGAGCTGGCTTTCCCAGGGCTGGAGAAAGAACAGCAGGGGCAGCAGCCAGCAAAGAAGGCCTCTCATGGTGCTTGTAGGATGAAGACCCAAAGTGTCACAGCCTGGAGGCAATAAAGCAACAGTTTCCACCTCTCTCTTATTCCAGGGGGTGTGCACTTTGCTTCCTTGTATGTTAAAAACGTCTTGCAGGCATGGTTGAACACTCAGGAGGCAAAGGCAGGCAGATCTCTGTGAGTTCAGGGCCAGCCTGGTCTACATAGCCAGTTCCAGGCCAGCCAGAGCTACATAGTGAGACCCTGCCTCGAAACAAAAGTCATATAATCATTTTTTAATGTCACCATTCTGGAATTGATGAAATTCACAGAAGAGTCTTAGTAGAAAATGACATTTTGCAGAACTACAGGACACCAAGTAAACAAAGAGTAGACAAAAACATACAATTCAAAAGGGGATAAACGCCTTTATAAAAAGATGTTTTACATGGACTTTTTTTGTTGTGTGTGCATGCACACACTACGACACACACGTGTGGAGGTCAAAGGGCAGTTCGCTGAAGTCGGCTCTCTCCTTCCATTGTGCAGGTCCCAGGATTAGGTGGTACTGAACTCCGGCGGTCAGTCTTGACAGTAACCATCTTTACCCATGAGCTACCCTGCTGGTCCCCAAAAGAAGCCTTTTCTAAATACCAACCAGGTACAGCGTTAAATGCGCTCATTCCATGTGGCATTAACTCTCTACCCAGTTCTGACACTCACGGCTGTTGCTGGCCTGGTTGTACCTATTCAGAAATAGAGGCTTAAAAAAACTAAATCCTGCTGGCCAACCTCTGGTAGCAAGCAGGAAAGTGGCCACACCGTGATCTAATCCTGTCTGTCTGGCCTGTGAGTCAGCCAAGGTGCCCCATACTCTCTTCTTCTGCAGAGAAAAGCTATTCCCCACCTCCTCCCCCACCCCCTGAGAAGAGCAGCCCTTTGGGTTCTAGGGTCTCCTGGTAAGCCAGTGAGTGGGCCATGAACAAGGACCCCCTCAACGTCTTTGTTACCTGCCTGCTCTTAGGAGAGGCCGCCAGGGGGCGCCTTCCGGGTCTGGCTTCTACAGCCGTGGGAAGCCCACATCCGCCCAGCAGGTGTCCCTGCCCAGAGCAAACAGGCGGCTGGGGAGCCCCGGGACCTTGAAGATAAGGCTTGGATGAAATATATCCAGTGCGAGCGTTGAAGGCAGAGGTGTGGAGGGTACCGAAGACAGTGGTACTAGCCGTGCCCAGAGGGCAGCGAGAGAGAGGCTGGGGCCTCGACCAGCGGCCATGGACCCCATGGGGACAACAGGTGAGCTTTCACCCTCCTGCGCGAGGATCCCTGAGAACGACGAAGGACATGGACACACACATACACACACACACACACACACACACACACACACACACACACACACACACTGTACGAATGGAAAATTTGGGGCCCAATAAGGTTGCCAGCTGGGCTCCAGGCACAGAACTAAACCTAGGCTCCTCTCTCTTCCTCCAGAGCCCCTGGTTCTCTGGCACCTAAGAGTCACTAAGCCTTTCTTCCGTTCCCTACCCCACCCCCACACGGCACGTTGAGCCTGCTCTATCCATTTTTCTGTCGCTGGTTCTTGGCAGAGCAGGCCAGCGCCCCCTAACCCACCGCCGCCCCGCCCCCTACTTCCTTGAATGGGCCCATTCTGAGCAAGGCTGGTGTGTGTCTCTGGCTCCAGACTGCCTTCCCATCCGGGATTCTTCTCCCTTCTGGCTTTCCAGGCAGGGTAGGAGAACAAAAATCCCTCTGGCAGGGCCTGTCGTGGTAGGGTGACTGAGCTAGCAAGATGTGCCAGCCGCTTGCTGGGGGAGGTAGGAGGTAGGGGGTGCCTTTTCTAGAGTGGGCCATAGCATTTGGGGTTGCCGTCTGAGTAAAGGTCCAGGGGACCTTTGAGACTCAGTGTTGGCTCTTGACTATGGTCCCTCTTAGCCTGCTCTTGGCCTAAGTCAACACGCACTCACTAAAACCTCACCTGCACCCCAGGAATCTTAGAAAGTCAAAGTAGCTATCGTCTCAACTTCAACTTTCCAAACCTGCCGTTCCCCTAGAGGAAAGTCGGTCCAGAGAGGGCAAAGGGAGTCATCACTGGAGGGCTTACTTTGAAATGGTGGCCCCCACCGCTGGACTGACACTGGACCCCAGTTCTCCTAGATCTAAAGAGTCAATCCTTACTTTGAAGAGGAAGTTTCTCCGGTGCCCTTAGGGTAGGAAACTTGAATTTCCAAGGAAAGGGGAGGTCTACGGGGTCAAGAGTTGACCAGGAATGGTCACTTTGGGAAGGTGCCAGAACCTAGAGGGAGGAGATTAGAGAAGGAGGGCCTGTGTGTAGTCGGCCTTGCTGGATGGGCATCGGAAAAGGCACTACTGCAGGTCATGTGTGGGCACGTAGGCAGTTAAGCACTGTCCCCCTACGGGCTTTTCCACCGGCTTCCCTGCAGACCCCTCGGTGCCCCCGGGCCCTTTGACTCACCTGAGCCTGCGGGACAGCTCAGAGGCGCGGCTACAGAGCGACGGGCCAAGCCTCCTGGGGAGTTGGACCAGGTAACGGCGTGGGCAGCTTGCCCTAGGTGGGGACTGCCAGACAGCTAGAGCGAGGCGAGGCGGCAGCTGCATTTAACCTGGGGCGGGCGGGTGGGGAGGGGGAGCGCGGGCTGCGACCCCTCCCACTGGCAGGGAGCGATCTCCCCCTTCCTCTGAGCTCCCGGGCCGGGAAAGAGCGGCGCCCCCTTGTCCTGCTACTCTCGGAGCTGCAGGCGCGAGCTGCGGGGCCGGAATTCGGCTACAGCTGGAGTCGGGTGGCGACACTCCCGGCAGCCGGAATGCTCTGGAATCCTACACGAGACACTTCCCAGAGGAGAGCCCCAAGAGGCGGAGCGGTCCTGGCAGCCGCCTTGGCTTGGCTGGGCTTCGGAGGACGCGCCCGGTTCTTGCCCTCCGCTGTCCCTTCCAGGAGTGATGAAAGGCCGGGATTTGGCCCTTCTAAGGGAGTAAAAGGACTCAAAAGGACAGCCTCGGAGTTCTTAGCTCTCTCCAGGGCCCAACCTGCTAATTTCCCAAATATCTCCCACCATGCTCCGTTTAATTGTGTAAACTTTGTGAGAACCCATCCTCACCGGCTAAACTCTCAGACTGACAAGCAACAGATCCCGGAGAGCTGAAGTAGCTCACTCTACAAGGCCAATGTCCTAATTCCCTGCATTCAAAGAAGGGAAAATCCCCGTAGCAATAAGCCAGGGTGTTGTTTGGGCATTAGAAAGACTCAGATCCATCCCCATCCTGCTAACGAGGCTTGAGACCTCCTCATTCACATTTACACTGGTCGGCTTGCTGGAATTGAGATTGTGCCCTGGACCTGGGGCCGGCAAAGGCTGTTTCCTCTTGTGTATTCTCCTGGGGTGAAGGCTTAATTACCATTCCCACAAAGCCCACCTCCATCTGAAGACCAAATGTAGGGCTTTTAAAGGCAGCCAGGAAGCCACCCACACAGTGCAGCACCTGGGTGATCCTGGCGGGCTCTGTACAGGCTTCATGGAGCACAACTATTTAGCCCATGACCCAAGTCCTCCCCTTTGCCTAACATTTCTTCCCAGAGCCCTTGGGGAATGTTAATCAAGCCCAGTCTTCCACTTCAGCTTTGTGCTGATTCAACTCTTGACTCTCCTTCCTGTGGCTGGGTGGCCCATTGCCATTCCTAGGTCACCCCCAGAGCATGCCACCATCCTGAGGGAAGGTGTGCGGACGTGCCTGCAGCAAAGATGTGAGCAGACTGTGTGGATCCTGCATGCCAAGGTGGCTCAGAAATCCTATGGAAATGAGAAGCGGTAGGTGACATTACATCCACTCCCAGGTCTCCACAGCCTTCAGTCCTATGCACCCTTCCAAACCTCCCACCACTTAGCTGCTTTTACATCTTGAAGGCCTCAAGGCTGACACCTCAGCTATTGGCCAACCAGGGTTCTGCTCCTCAGCAGAACAATAGACACCATCTGGGATCTACAGCGGAACTTCACAGGGACTCTCAGATTCCCACATCCCCGCTCACTATCCATTCATTCAGTTCCTTACTAATTGTCACCGCGGGGCACGAAGCATCCAGCTGCACAAGATTGACACCCAGCATCTTCGCTGAGTGTGGGAGAGGCAGTTACTCCCCACAAATCAGCAAACAAGAAACTTCAGATCATGAGGAGAGCTACAAGGAAAACAGAGCAGGGTCACCTAGTAGAAACCAAAGGGGGATAGCTTAGCTTGAAGGGTCAAGGAGGTCAAAGGGCTCTTTAGGAAGTGACATCATCAGAACTGAGGTACCAATACTGAAATAGAGCCAGACATGAAAACAATCTCCAGGAAGCATTCCAACAAAAGGGACAGAAAATGCAAGGACCTCAAGTCTACTAGTCCTGTAAGAGGATAAGAGAGGAGAGAGAGAAGAGAGGAGAAAAGAGAAGAGAGAGAGAGAGAGAGAGAGAGAGAGAGAGAGAGAGAGAGAGAGAGAGAGAGACTGGACAGAGGAGGGGATGTTACAGGAAATAAACAGGAGAAGCAAAAAGTGTTCAAGTCGTGTGAAGACTTGGGATTTTAAACCACTAAAAGATTCTAATAGAGGACTATCATAATTTTACGAATGTTTTCATATAATATTGTTTAATTTTAATTTAATAATATTAATTTCAAATAATATTGTTTATTTTTATATATTTGGGGGTAATGAGACAGATTCTGACTTTATAGCTCAGACTGCACTTGAACCCACAGTAATTCTCCTGCCTCAGGCCCCATCCCCTCCAGTGCCCAGTGCCTGGATTAGGATTTCAGACATAAGCCACCACACCCAATTTAGTTTAACTGGTTTTTAGAAAGATTTACTTATCTACATATTTTATGTATATAGGTGCTCTGTCTACGAGCATGCCTGCACACCAGAAGAGGGCATCAGATCCCATTACAGGTGGTTGAGCCACCATGTGGATGCTGAGAATTGAACTCAGGACCTCTGGAAGAGCAGCCAGTGCTCCTAACCTCTGAGCCGGCTCTCCTGCCCCTTGATTGTTATTTTCACTGCTGTTATTGTTGTTGTTACTCTGTGTGTGTGTGTGTGTGTGTGTGTGTGTGTGTGTGTGTGTGCGCGCGCGCGTGTGTGCGTGCGCGCGCGCCACAACTCATGTGGAGGTCAGAGGATAACGTTGTGTAGCTGGTTCTCTTCTTCCACTTTTCAGTGGGTTCGGGGGGTTGAACTCAGATTCTCAGGTTTACCCTGGCAAGCGTTTTATCTGCCGAGCCAGCTGTTACTTAGGAAGTAATCTGGTTGCTGTGTGAAAAACAAGTTCCAAGAGAGGCAGTCACAAGGGAGAGACAGTCGGAAGGCCGAGAGTGGGGAAGGCAAGAGGCAGCGGCTAGGACCAAGGTGGAGGTGGAGGAAGCCACTGGATTCCAGATATGTTTTGAAGATGGAGTGGGCAGGACTTACCGATGGATTTAATAAGCCAAAGAATGTTCTGTGTTAACGAGATTCACTCAATTAGGAGAGGAGAGGGAATTGTGATTCTTTGGGTTTATGTCTCTTTGAGACACTTTCAAGACAGTGAAAATGATGTATCCAGTTCTCTGCGTGTTTCCAGGTTCTTCTGCCCTCCGCCCTGTGTCTACCTCGCCGGTCCTGGCTGGAGGGTGAAACCAGTGCAAGACCAAGGTGAGAGCTAGCGCGCTCAGGGACTGTTCTCTGCCGGACGGACAAACTAATTCAGCAGTTGCAGGCGCAATCTCGTTGCTCCCTCTGGCGGCAAGAACTAAGTTTGACTGGCACCTGAGTCTCCCCAATCCCTCCAGGGTTAATTCCCGTCCTTTTCTAGCCCACCAATCTGTGGAGACCGGGCCCACCGTCTGCGGTTACATGGGACTGGACGGAGCGTCCAGCAGCACTCCCGAGACGCAGAAGTTGAATTTCGAAGAGCAGCCGGACTCAAGGGTGAGACTGCATGAAGGAGCATCCAATTCCTGCCCCCAGCCCTGCCTCTTGTTTGCAAAGGACTCCCCAAGTCCTCTCCAGAAGCCAAGAGACTGGAGGGGAGGCCAGAGAGTGGGTTCTGATCCAGAGCCTAGCTAGTGCGGCTTCTTGTCATCTCTGATGGGATGGATGTCATAGCTGCGGAAGGTTGGCGCAGCCGCTGGCAGAGAGTTGAGATAAAACGGATTCCATCCCCATGAGTCCCGTAGGAATTTGGTTGTGCTAAGACCCTGTACATCTCCGACGCCGACAAGAGGAAGCACTTCCGGCTAGTGCTGCGGCTTGTGCTGCGAGGAGGCCGGGAGCTGGGCACCTTTCACAGTCGCCTCATCAAGGTGATCTCCAAGCCCTCACAGAAGAAGCAGTCGCTGAAAAACACAGACCGTGAGACGGGGTGGAGTGGGAGGGTGCAATTCAAATCCAGAGCTGTATAAGAGGGAAGAGGGTGCAGGGGTGGAGTCAGGGTGAGAGGTGGAGTCTGAGTAGAAAAAAGGGAGGAGTCCGGGTGAGTGGCTGGCCAAAACCAAGAAAAAAGTCACCCACATACGGAGATTCCCCACGGGATACAGGAAAGAGACCAGACAATCAGATTTGAGGACGGCACTGCGGGACTCAGAACAGATAAAAGCTGTAGCCAGGTGCCAAACCCGGGGCCGATTAAAAATGACCTTAAGGAAGTTGGGTCCCAGATCCAAGCAGTGTTCTGGTTGGCTCTTGGTATTCAGGAAAAGTGGATGGCGTGGTGACATAGTGTGATGGCTAAGAGTGCCGAATCTGGCGGTCTGGGTTTGAACCCGGGCCTGAAGTTTGCTAGCTGTGTGGTCTTTGGCAGGCTGATCCCTTAGCCGGCAATAGGAGAATCAACTGAGTGGATACATATATTTAGAAAAGTAAAGGTCAAGGAGATGGCTGGGGGGGGGGGGCGGTAAAAGCACCAGAATCTGAGTTTGGGGCCCCATAAAAGCTGAACATATGTGGCTGCAGGCACCAGTGACCCCAGCACTGAGCAAGGAGGGTCAGGCAGATCCTCCTCCAGCTCTCTGGCCAGGAAGTTCCAGAAAAACGGTGAACTCACAATCCAGTGAGAGCCTGTGTCTCAGAAAATAAGGTGAAGAGTAATAGAAGATTGTACCTAGGGTAAACCTCATGCATGCACACACTCATGCACATGCACACACATACAAAAAAAGAGAAGGAAGGAAGGAAGGGAGGAAGGAAGGAAGGAAGGAAAGAAGGAAGGATGTATTGCATAATAAATTCAATGGAAGGGGCCTGGACTAGGTACAAATGGCATGCCATCCGTCCATCCAGCATTAAGAGCAGAGGAAGGCACTCTGTCCAGAGCCTTATCCCCAACTGGTCTAAGTCCAGTGAGAAAATAAAGCTGGGTCTCTGAGCACCTGCCATGGGCTGGAAAACACTCTGAGCTCTAGAAAAGTTCCTCTGCTCTCATACCATGTGGTCTTCGCTCAGCAGCCAGCTGTCTACACAGCTCCTACCTGCTTCATGCTTCCCCACCCCAAAAGCCTCCTTAACTCAGGCTTCACCACATGGTGTTAGCATTGGATATGTATATCCTCCAGACCATGAACTCATACAGAGCAAAGCTGGAACCAGTTCACACCATTAGCACCCGGCACAGTACCTACCCCAAAGCAGGTCCTGAGTGACTTGATGAACTCAGTTCACTGAACTGAAGGATGTCCAGTCGCACCAGGGAGCTGGCAAGGTCAGAAGCCAAACGGAGCAGACCCTAGCTAAATGGCTGCAAAATACAGATACCACATCGTGTCCAGGCCAGCGGGCATATTAGCCAGGGTGTCACAAAGGACAGGAGATCATCAGGGCAGACTGAGGGACCACATGAGGCCAGGGCACTGATTCCACTCCCCTCACAGTGTGCATCTCCTCGGGCTCAAAGGTCTCCCTTTTCAACCGCCTGCGCTCCCAGACAGTGTCCACACGCTACCTCTCTGTGGAAGATGGAGCCTTTGTGGCCAGCGCAAGACAGTGGGCTGCCTTCACACTCCACCTGGGTAATCACGTGAGCAGGTGCGGGCTGGGGGCTCCATGTGTGTTAGCATAGTTAATCAACACTTCAGGAAGGTAAACAGGTGTGACAGCCTTGGGGAGGAGGACTAAGGCTTGCCCCTGACCTCAGTGGGTCAATGACTAGCCCAACTATTCTGATCCCAGTGGCTATGCCCTTTAGGTGGCCCAGGGAGCACACCTTTGTGGAGATGACCACAGATTACTTATCCAGGATTAGAATCTTAGTCTTCGCTTCTTCCATCGTGGCAAGCAGCGGTGTGATATAAAGCCAGAGGTGAAGACGCAGGGTTTGGGGCAGAAGTTCTGAAGCCTTTGCTCTTTTCTTTCATCTCCAGCTGATGAGCGCTGTTCCCAAGGGGACTTCCCACCTCAAGAAGGTTACATCCGCTATGGCTCCCTGGTGCAGCTTGTCTGTACGGTCACGGGCGTCACACTGCCTCCTATGGTATGAAAAGGGACTTTGTATCCACACGGGTAACCACAGATCAGTACAGAAGTGTGGCCACTGTGGGCAGGGCTGGAGGGTGAAGCCTGCAGGCCTAAAGACACCTACTCTCTCTTAGTGTTTAATGGGAGTGTGGCTGTGACCTCATGGCAATCAGAGCAGAACTGCCTGGCTGGGAGAGCGGCCAGCCTCTGGGGCACCCCTGCACCTTGCCACCCCTCTTCCTGACACCCTTCTGCTGCAGATCATCCGCAAAGTAGCCAAGCAGTGTGCCCTCCTTGACGTGGACGAACCCATATCCCAGCTACACAAGTGCGCATTCCAGTTTCCAGGTGATACTCCAGGAGGGGGTGGCACCTACTTATGCCTTGCCACAGAGAAGGTGGTGCAATTCCAGGTGAGAGGTGGAAGCTACCGAGCATGCTGGAAAGAATACAGAGGGCCGTAAGATAGAAGAGCTTGTCTACAAAAGCTGCTGCTTCTTAAGTAATAGTGCCGTCCATGGTAGATTAGAGTCACAGAAGGTAGAAAAACAATGCAATTACTGTTAGTAAATAATACTCCTTCCCAAGGACTTTTAAATGTTGCAATATGAAATTGTAGAATATATGAACTGGAGAGATAGCTCAGTAGTTAAGAGAACTTGTTGCTCTTCCAGAGGATCCAGGTTCAAATCCCAGCACCCACATGGTAGGCCATAACTTAGCAACCACCTGTAACTCCAGCTCTAGGGGATCTGACACCTTTTTCTGACCTCTGAAGGTCACACACATATGGCACACACTCACATATACATAAATAAAAAGAAAAATGTTGCAGAATATAAATAAAATCATAGTAGGAAATAGTATTATTACTGAACAAAGTTATAGGATGTCAAGGCACAAAATCATACAGTGTGGAAAACAATAATTATTAAGTAATATTTCTCCCCAAAAATATTACTCTGGAATGTTAGTAGATAGAATCATAAAATATAGAAAACAATAATTATAGCCAGGTGGCGCACGCCTTTAATCCCAGCACTCAGGAGGCAGAGGCAGGCGGATCTCTGTGAGTTCAACCCAGCCTGGTCTCTGGAGCTAGTTCCAGGACAGCCAAGGCTACACAGAGAAACCCTTCTTGAAAAAAACGAAAAGAAAAGAAAAGAAAGACTTAAGAAAACTAGTTTAGGGGCATGGGGGTGCACGCCTATAATCCCAGCCTTGGGAGTAGGGGGCAGAGGCAGGCAGATCTCTGAGTTCAAAGCCAGCCTGGTCTACAGAGTGAGTTCCAGGACAGCCAGGGCTACACAGAGAAATCCTGTCTCGAAGAAGAAGAAGAAGAAGAAGAAGAAGAAGAAGAAGAAGAAGAAGAAGAAGAAGAAGAAGAAGAAGAAGAAGAAGAAGAAGAAGAAGAAGAAAGGAAGGAAGAAAGAAAAGAAAACTAGTTTATTAGAAACTAAACTGGTTCAAATATTTTAGTTTACTAAGTGATGGAATGTTAAACTCTTGGGGATGGGAAAATGGGTAGTTGGTAAAGTGCCTGCTGTGCCAACTCTGGCACCTGAATTCGATACCCTAGAACTCACATCTATTTTTAAAAATTGAGCATGATGGCTCCTACCTGTAATCCCAGCACCTGGGAGGCAGAGACAGGAGAATCCCGGGGCTTTCCTTAGCCAGTCTAACCAAATGAGCCAACTTCAAGTTCAGTGAGAAACTGTCTCAAAAATAAAGTGGAGAGCAAGCAATGGCCACCTCCGACCTCCATACCGGTACACACACACACACACACACACACACACACACACACACACACACACACGTCTATACACGCATAATAACTACACAGTACAAATAAAAAATACTGTTTTAAAAAGAATGAGTTTGGCTATACATCACACACAGTGTGGGGGCTCACCCAAGTTCCCTGGGGCAGATACGCCAGAAAGCTTAGAAGGGAAACGTGGTGAGGCTGGACCACTAGCAAAGCTTCAGCTCCATCCTTTGGACTTCTTGCTAGGCTTCCCTGTGTCCCAAGGAGGCTAACAGGGCACTGCTCAACGACAGCTCTTGCTGGACCATCATTGGCACCGAGTCGGTGGAGTTCTCCTTCAGCACCAGCCTGGCCTGTACTAGGGAACCTGTCACTCCAGTGCCCCTCATCAGCACTCTGGAGGTAAACTGCATGCAGGGTGGTGTGCAGCAGCCAGCCTGCCGGCTCTGGGAATGGGGGTTGGGGGTGGCTATCGGAGGAAGGACGGGAGGATCCTTCTACTCTCCCTACACACACACACACACACACACACACACACACACACACACACACACACACACTCCCCAGTCACCTACATCTGGTCCCATCCGCCCCTAGCTGAGCGGCGGTGGTGATGTAGCCACGCTGGAGCTGCACGGAGAGAATTTCCACGCTGGGCTCAAGGTGTGGTTTGGAGATGTGGAGGCGGAAACCATGTACAGGTACCGATGGGGCGGAGGGTAGGGGGGTGGGTGGGCGCAGCTTGGTCCCAAGGACCAGAGGCTGGAATGTTTGTCCATCTTATCCTCCATGCCCCACCCGCAGGAGCCCGCGGTCCTTGGTGTGCGTGGTGCCAGACGTGGCGGCCTTCGGCAGCGACTGGCGTTGGCTGCGCACTCCCATCACCGTGCCCGTGAGCCTGCTGCGTGCAGATGCGCTCTTCTACCCCAGCGCCTTCTCTTTCACCTACACCCCGGAATACACCGCGCGGCTGCCCAACGCGCACGAGCCCGCCCCTGATGCAGATGCGCTGCTTGAGAGCATTCACCACGAGTTCACGCGCACCAACTTCCACCTCTTCTGCCCCAGCTAGGCACCGCCACCTGTGACAGATGCCCACCCGCAGCTGTCCCTGGAAGGGGGTGGATGTATATTCGACTTCCTTGTCCCATTACTATGACAGGGCAAGAGGGAGGGAGATTTCTCACCTGTCCTCAGACATATGGGAACTGTCAATCATGAGTGATGTTCTAATGTCTTCATGGCGTGGGCTGTTTCCTGTTTGTTGTTGTTGTTTGTTTGTTTTTTTTGTTTTTGTAACCTTGCAGATCCATCCTTTCATCTTTGTCTCTTTCTGGCTCTTCTTCCTGTGTCTTTGACAGACTCTGAGGATCCAAACCCAGGGGATTTGACCTTCAGACATCTGTGTCCCCACTTGAAAACAAGTCATACGAAGTACAGCTAGCATGTCTTGGATGCTGATCCTATCTGGGGTCCCTCTTAGAGCTAGGCATCTCTTGGCTACACATCCTATGGCACCCTCACCTAGGTTTGATCTCTGGTCCACATTAGCAGTCAGGCAGAGGCCTAGGACAGATGTCAGGTTTTGCCTTTTTCATTGTACCACGGCCACTTCTCCTTCAGGCCCAATAGGAAGCAGCCTGCAGATAAAGAGCGATCTATATTTCAGGTATAGAGAATGAGAATGCACTGCAGCAGGGGGTGAGGGGGATGGGGGGCTGATGGATGCTTCCCAGGTTCTGTCCAAGTCAGAGTCTGATGGAACAGGTACCTTTATGACTCTGTAGGGAAGAAATGTTATTCGAGGCAGCAGATAACTTAAGCCTAGGGACCATCTGAAAACCCTGGAAGCCAGCAACTAGCTATGCCCCCCATACCAAGAAGAAGATAACGCAGACTCAGAGGCAAGCATAGAGCCTCTTCAGACCAAAACTTCAGACCAAAGGCAGACAGAAGTTATGGGACAACTGAGAAATAATGGAACTGAGAAATGGGCCTCTGAGCATGGGGCCCATGGCCAGAACTACAGACTCTCTCTGGTCAGCCTTTGCTTTTCCTTCCCACTCTGTGATTATATGAAAAAGGAAATTGGGTAGGATCCTGGCTTGGGCTGTGAAAACCAAAGACATAGAAACAATGGTTGTCAGTCTCTGGTCTTGCCTGGTAGGGAGAACTGATTTGAAATATGGGCTCAGTCTCTGGCCATACCACCCTGAACATGCTAGATCTTATCTGAAATGTGGGTTCAAAGCTCTAATGATCTGGAACTTTCCTTAACCCTTGGAGGAAGAGCTCATTTCCTGTAAGCCTCCCCACCCCCAAATGTGGAAAGTCCCATAAGAAAGCAGTAAGATTTGTTGATGCCGGGTGGTGGTGGTGGGGGCGGCGGCGGCGGCGGCAGCGCCGCACGCCTTTAGTCCCATCTCTCGGGAAGCAGAGGCAGGCAGATCTCTATGAGTTTGAGGCCAGCCTGGTCTACAGAGTGAGTTCCAGGACACCCAGGGCTACACAGAGAAATCCTGTCTTGAAAAAAGAAAGAAGGAAGGGAGGAAGAAAGGAAGGAAGGAAGGAAGGAAGGAGAGGAGAGGAGAGGAGAGGAGAGGAGAGGAAAGGAAAGGAAAGGAAAGGAAAAAAGAGAGACTCCATAGAGTCTTCACTGATTTCTTTTCCTTTTTTTTTTTTCTTTCTTTTCTTTTTTGGTCTTCACTGATTTCTGTCTACTATCAACAAGCTGAAATTCACCATGAAAGACAAGGAGGAAGAAACTTGCTCAAAGCCCATGTGGCTCCTGACAGTGACTCTTGGCTAAGAAATACAGGGCACATTTTCGATGAGCTCTATCCCCAGCATCAGTACCTGCCCAGACTTTGTGTCACTATCCCATGAGAGTCCAGAGTGTACCAAGAGGGGAACTGGGCGCCAGGGCCATTCAGTTGCCCCCTAGGCTTTCTCTGCTGTGCCCCAAGGCCAGACATGCAGCCACCTAGAAGTCTGACATCAGAGCTTTGGCTCCGCCCTGTTTTGAGTTCCAGCTGCCAGGCAGATCTTGGAGGTACCCCTTGACTGGAGTCTGCATCATCTGACATGAAAGCTTTCCCTGCCCATCCCCTTCACAGCGCTGGATCTTCTGTCTCCTTCTCCAGCAGGCAATCCCATCATCAAAGGCTTGGGGACCCTATCACTTCTTCCACAGCAAAATCTCCCCCTCCCCTTTCCTCTGCTCTGCCTTCCAGATTCATGAAAATGCCATAGGAATTCTCAATTTCCCAGTGTGAAATGAAAATCCATGAGCCCCCTAAATTCAATTTTTTTTACTTTTTTAAAATTTTATTTATTTTTCTATTATCAGCTTTATACAGTACAAATTCTTATTTTAGTAGTGAAATGTTTCACTGAGGCTTGCCCAGTAATTGAGTAAAACCAAAACTTATTATAAGCCACAGTCATCCTAGGGTCCCCCCTGCCATATAGCCTCCCTGGTTCTGTGGGTTGTAGTCTGATTGTTCTTTGCTTTATATCTAGAATCCACTTATGAGTGAGTACATACCATGTTTGTCCTTCTGGGTTTGGATTACCTCACTCAGGATGATATTTTCTAGTTCCATCCATTTGCCTGCAAATTTCATGCTGTCATTGTTTTTCTCTGCTGAGTAGTACTCCATTGTGTATATGTACCACATTTTCTTAATCCATTCTTCAGTTGACGGGCATCTAGGTTGTTTCCAGGTTCTGGTTATTACAAATAGTGCTGCTATGAACATAGTTGAGCATGTATCTTTGTGGTATGATTGAGCATTCCTTGGGTATATGCCCAAGAGTGGTATGGCTGGGTCTTGAGGTAGATCGATTCCCAGTTTTCTGAGAAACCACCATACTGATTTCCACAATGGTTGTACAAGTTTGCACTCCCACCAACAGTGGAGGAGTGTTCCCTTTGCTCCGCATCCTCTCCAACATTGACTGTCATTAGTGTTTTTGATCATAGCCATTCTGACAGGTATAAGGTGGTATCTCAGAGTCGTTTTGATTTGCATCAAATCTTATTAGTAATTTCAAGACAGAGACAGGAGATGATGAACCCAGCGCCACTCACGAAGCCAGCCCTAGCCACAGGCTCTCATCTTACATTCTACCAAGTTGCCTCCTGTGTTGGGTTGTCCCCTCTAGGCTGTGAGGTTCGTATGGAAATAGGATTATCATCTATTTGTTTGTTTGTTTATCGCCTTCTAACACCATGCCTTGCACAATAAGCTGGGCTCCATGTTTAAGGTACTGCATTGCATTGCCAGATAATGGCTTGCAAATGTGAAGAAAAACCACCAGGTGGCACTGTTCCCCTCACAAACACAAAGTGTGCTGTAAAACGTGATTGGATCCTTCAAGATAACCTTTTTCATGTCTTTGGGGTTCTCTGGAAGTTTACACGCTCAGTTTTACACATCTCCAAGAAATTTACAAAGTCTCTAAAGGCCACTTGTGAGTCTGCTTACTTCGCTAGACTCAGCTAAGATAGTTGTAAAAATTAGCTGTCCTTAGTAGACCTGGTGGCAAATGCATTTAGTCCCAACACTCCTGAGGTAGAGGCAGGCAGATCTCTGTGAGCTCAAGGTCAGCCTGGGCTACATAGTGAATTTCAGGACTGTCAGGGCTACATAGAGCAACTCTGTTTCAATATATATATAGCTTTCCAGACAACACCACAGATCAATTAGATTGAGAGCTCTGTGCCCAGGGGATTAGACATAAAAGCAAAATGAAGCTGGGTGGTGGTGGCACACGCCTTTAATCCCAGCACTCGGGAGACAGAGGCACGTGGATCTCTGTGAGTTCAAGGCTAGTCTGGGCTACAGAGTGAGTTCCAGGATAGGCTCCAAAACTACACAGAGAAACCCTGTCTCGAAAAACCAAAACCAAAACCAAAAAAAAAAAAAAAAAAGCAAAATGTAGATGTTTCCTTACATGCTAAATTAGTTCATAAATCATGTGTGCAAACGAGCCCTGGCTGCAGTGTTGAGATGTCTGATGGAAAGAAGGCTCAGGTTTGCTTTACCATGCTGGGGTAGCTGCCCCAGATCAGGGACAGACCTGAGTGCTTCAGGTGGGAGCTCTGGCACCTGACTAGGCTGAGAGAGGCCAGTTCTTGGAGTCAACATCTGTATTGTTAACAAACCTCCTGTGTGGCTCTAACAAAAAGTTAGAAGTTGGGAATGACTACCTTAGTACATATTCTCCCCTCTTTGTAGAAGGGTAAACTGAGGCTACAAGACAGGAGGTTAAGCTCACAGCAGGTCCATGGCAGAGCCTGTCCTGGATTGGAGTCCTACCCTCCTAACACACAGTCTGGGGCTCCGAGGTTCTCCTAACTGTCCTGTCACACTAGGCCACAGGAGGACCGTGCATGTTGCAGATAAGACAGAGTGGGAGGATGTGAACCAAAAGGCAGGAGAGGATGGACGTCTGTTCCCCAAATCCCAGTTTCCCATCTCTCACAAGGTCTGAAGTCGCACCACTGATGAAATAGTCTCCCCATTTAAAGACTGGCCCTGGGCTGCTTCTCTGGCTTTTGTTTCTCTTCAATTGGGTTCCCTGCAAAGAGAAATTAGTTAAAACAACAGCGTGGTGCAATTCTCAGACATTCCCCTCCCTGGGGAGGATGTGGATGGCTGAGATCATAGACCATGAAGATGTCAAGGAAGAAAAAAATGGGAAGTGAAACCAGCGTGTCTACACGTTTTGTCAAGGGCCAATCCTAATCTCTCTCTCTCTCTCTCTCTCTCTCTCTCTCTCTCTCTCTCTCTCTCTCTCTCTCTCTCTCTCTCTGTTCCAGACCCCACCCCAAGGACAAAGTAAGGTGGTGGTGGTACAGTAATACTTTCAGTGGGTGAAGTGGCAGACACCTGTGGCATCTGGCTGCTTGCTGTAGGGTTTGGGGTAGGGGTGCAAGCAAAGTTCAAAGTTCAGGGGAAGGCAGAGCCTTGTGACCAAGTTCTTCATGAATGAACCCTAGCTAAAGAGTATTTTAGCAGGGTGCTGGGGATGGAGCTCAGTTGGCAGAGTAGAGTGCTTGCCTAGCCTGCACAAAAGTGCATAAAGCAAGCACGGTGGTACGTGCCTGTAACCACGAGGTACAATCAGAATCAGGAGTAGTGGATATTCAAGGTGGCCAGGCAGTGGTGGCACGCACCTTTAATCCCAGCACTCAGAAAGCAGAGGCGGGAGGATCTCCGTGAGCTTGAA